AGGACGGTGAAACGAGTATAGTTGTATGTTTCACAAGAATGCTGGGTTGTGAACAAAACTTTCGCCCCAGGCGGGACTAGAACCCGCACCTCTCGCTTTTAGTGATAGTAAGGTAGTGATAGTGGCAATAAGTACAGAATACAATTTGTATAAAAATTACACATCAGTGGTTGGAATTGACTAGTAAAGTGTAGATCTTCAAGCCTATAAAACAAAGTCAGTGGAAGATACGCCAGTCAACCTGAGAGGAATCGAATCGAGGGTATACTGAACTGCATTCATTATGGAAGTTAGGTCTTAATGCTCGTGGTTTTGGTGTACCATTTCCTCAAATCGATAATCTTGTTATACATGAGCCGCATCGTTTCGTCCTGCTCGCGAAGCTCGTCACACTTTGCTGACAATTCCGACTCCAGGCAGCGATTCTCTTCCATCACGTCACACAAATCATGCTTCATTAGAGCAATTCGGTTGTTTTTCTAGAAAAAAATTTCAACGGTTCAAAGAATAAGACTTCATGAAAAGGGGGTAGCATTGAAAGAGTGTGGTTTGCTACAACAGGAAGCGACTTCTTCCGCTTTTCGCAGCGTGAAAAATTTTTTGCTGTGGGAACCCCAAATCTATCACTGATCAGAGTGGACCTGAAGTTCTTGCAACGAAAAAAATTTCGTCCTGCGAAAAGCGGTAGGCCGATGTCAGACTTTGCGAATCGCGCGATTCGCTAGCGTCCGCGGTCGCGTTGCGGTACCAGCCAATTGAGTGATTCACTGGCCGCGACGCGACCGCAGACGCTAGCGAATCGCGCGATTCGCAAAGTCTGACATCGGCCTAAGTTACACACAACATACCTCATCTATTTCAGCTCGCATCATCTTGCGCGCTGTCATCAAACTATGAAGAACAACTACCATAATTTTACCGCCTATGTGATATGTATTTTTGGGCCCATCTTACTTTACTCTTAACATAACACCACGCCGACGAGAAATTAAGCTAGCACTAACATCAATGGTAGAGAGGACAGCTGCCCTCGCTGCACCACGCCATGTCCGTGTCCTTCCAGTGATACTCTGAACTCGCACGTCCCAGTTTTTCAAACATGTCAATGGGGTCGTCTGCCACTCCTGCCACTCGTTGGGCTTCCTATACTCTTCCGACTCGCGGAGCAGGGT